AATCTAATTATGTAGTTCAAGAGAGGAATAATAAAAAAAAAAAGATAATTGAATTAGCCTGCCTAGCAGAGATATGCAAGGCCCCATTGACAGCAGTCATTCCAATGCATTTTTAGTAATAATACAGCTGTCAGATCCACTGTTTAAGTTCTAGGGGTATGCCTCAGTGGATAAGAGCACTTTTTGTTCTTTCAGAGGACCAGGGTCAGTTCCCAATACCCACATGGTGAGCACATTTCCTGCAAATCTAAATTTAGAGAATCTGAGATCCTCTTCTGGCTTCCTCATGTTTCATATATGCACATGGCACACAGATATACATGCAGGCACAACACCCATTTAAGTTTAAAGAAGACACTTCACTGACACTTGCTTATTCCTAAAATCTAAAGAGATTTTATGCATTTTTGGACTGTGTCATTGTAGTTAGAGATAGTGTTTATGACAGGGTCAGTACAGAATTACTAAGGTTAGATTTTCTCTACACATAATTTTTGCTTTGTCTTAGATTTTTCAGTGACTATTGCTCAAAGAAATAATTCTTACTGTATTTACTATAATTCGAAAAGCAAGTGTGGAAGTAGTGTTTCTTGTTGAGGTTTGACATTTTCCCTGTGGCTCCCAGCACCATCCACTCACCTTATTGGGCAGGACTGCATCAATCTCATGCTGGAGTTTCTCCTGAACATTGGGGTGAGTTGCCAGTAAATATGTAATAAATGTAAGAGTGGTGCTTGTTGTCTCATAGCCAGCAAAAAAAATGTGATTGATTTGGCAAGGATCTCCAGATCAGAAAGAGCTAAAATTAAATTAGACATTTTATGATAAAATTAGACATTTAATGATAAAAGCTGGTGACTACACAGAGCCTACACCTGCTTTGTTCTACCATCTTTGGTGAAGGAGGATGCACTGCACTTTATCTACAATGGTATACTGCAGCAAGATAAGAAGGGCAATGGTGGCACAATACATGTGGGAGTAACCAACCAATAACTAATGTGAACTAGGATCTACTCTATGAAAAGCAACCAAGACTTGGTGCTGCTTAGATGATCTACAACCTAATACTAGATATCCCAGAGGTCAAGGGCAAAAACAAATAATAGTGGTATAAAAAAAGAAATGTAGAGATCAAATGACTCCTGATGGTATTCTGCTATAATTGTAGAGAAGTGCCTTGCTCAGCCATCATCAGAGAAGCTTCCTGCTGCAGCATAAGGGAACAAATGTCCAGAACCACAACCATATATTAATCAAAGAGTGAGA